GCAGGGCTCAGATGGTGCCTGGTAGCACCTGAAGGCCAAGGTGAGGCAGGCATATACATTATGAATTATGGTCTCCATTACGGAGGGAGTCCTGAGGTCACTCTGCCACGCAAAGGCTGCGCGGCTTACTTGTTTCCCACCTCTCATTAGGAAAGGGAAAGAGCAAGATCTGAGTGTGTCTCCAGACCTTACAGGGGACAGAACAGATATTGTCACAACTGAAGGAACTCAAAAGCATGAGGTGTGGTACACACTCTCCAAGTATTCCTTGCAGGAGCTTCAGTAGGGTTTATCTTGGTCCCTATAAACTGGCAAAGAAAATATAAGAAGGATGTGAACTCTAATCCCCCCACCTCTGGGGTCAAATCTCAGGTCCATAACCACCTTCCATACAGAAGCCTCACTAGCATTGAAAGGAAGTATCACTGTTCATTGTCACCAGCCTCTGAAGGAGAGGGACAAATGTTCATAAGCACCTCCCAGACTCAGCAAGGGATGGTGATGCTTCATGAAGAAGGATGGGGCAGACAAGCTCTGAATGAGCCCTGACAGCTTCTGTAGAAGACACGCAGCATCTCCAAGCTTCACTTCTGCCTCCCACTACAGAAGGAACATAAGGCTGCTCAGGGGCTACAACCAGTGAGCCAGGAATTTCAGATCTTGGATTTGATCCTGCTGAGTAAAGGGATTACACAAGCATATTCTTGGATGCCCATCAGTGTTATTTATAACAGAGAAAAGTCTGTGCTTACATAAATTATCCTAAGAAAGGATGGGCTGAACTAATTTGGTGCCTTCATTTGACAGCGTAGTTGTTAGAAATAATGCTTTTTTAAAGAATATTGTGGGATGCAGTGATGTACTCTCAAACAGTAAGTGAAAAGACCCAAAATAAATTAATATGTACCATGATCCCAACTTTTAAAATTGTATGTGCTTATGGGCCTGCAAGATGGCATTTGCTATCAAACCTGATGGTCTGAGTTCATTCCCCAGGACTCACATGGTAGGAAAGAATCAACTCCTGTAAGTTGCCCTCTGACCTCCACACATGTGCCACAGCATACGTGTCTGCACATACACACATACACATAAATAAGTAGAAATTTTAAAAATCATACGTGCTCACAGAAACTTAAAAGGCTGGCTTAAAATACATACAGCATTTAGGAACATGTGGGTGTAGTAAGTTTGTGGACACAGAAGACAGCAACAAACATCAAACCTGATGGTTGCACCAGGCTTGCAAAGGCTCCACTACCAAGCAAATGCTTCCTCGGTTGCACTACTGCCATTCAATGTGTCTGAAGTAGTATCTCTGTTATTTTATTCTGTATGTCTGAAATATCTGGCAATGCAAACATTATAAAAGGGCATGTATAATGACAGGAAGGCAACATGTGGAAACATAGCTACTGCTTTGAGGCAGATATTAAGTGTTCGACCTTCACATTTCCCTAAGTTTTCACAGTGAACTCTTTCACTATTCCTAGCATGTTATCAATGGGGTCTACTTTTATGTCCAGCCCAGGGCTCATTTGTTTCAGGCAGAGCTGAGTTCTTGTGTGGGGGCACAGCTGGCTCTCCTGCCAAAGTCTTCACGAGACTTCAAGAACCCGGTTTGCTCCCTACTCAGGCATCTCTCACCCATTAGATTTAAACTAGCAGATTGCAGAGGGAGATGAAATCTTCCCACAGGCAGCCCACTCATATCCTTGACGTGAGAAGAGATTTGGAGGCGGCTGCCAGAAACCTTTTCCACTCTGCAAATTGTTCTCAAAAATACATGCTGCCTTATTTTTGTTTCTGAAATAGTTTGTGTTCTATTCTCTCCGGAAGCTGGGGGATCAGGCAACGGATCAATTCAAGTGGTGAAGGAAAATAAGACATTAATTATTTTGCCAACTGTGGAGACATTCTAGTCCCAACTGAAGCACAATACTTTGGAGGCAGGTCATCCTCCCTTGGGCTTCAAGACCTTCTAGTGTCCCCTGTGGAAGGAGTGGGCAACAAAAGGGCTTGGCCAGGGGCCACAAATGCCTGGGAACCACATGTGATTTACAAGGTTGTTATATGGTGCATGTTAGCCTCACACTCAACAATACTCTTGCCTCTGCCTCCGAAGTGCTGGGATCGACAGCCTAAGTGTGCCACTGCATTCAACTTCTTGACAGTTACTTTTTAATCAGCAGGTGAATTCACCCGTGCAAACAATTCCTACCTTTTCACATCACAAATGTGTTTCTTTAAAGGGGCACTCCTTAGGAATTTCTCTCTGTGTGTGTGTGTCTATGTCTCTAATTCTAGAGTAAGTATTTACTAAAAACCCACTGTGTTCTCAGCATCAGGCTAAGACTAAATGGCAGCCTGACTGCTGACCCTTGAAGATGCCCTTTCTCTTATCTAGTAACTTCTTGTTCAAAGCACACATCCCATGTTTGTTTTACCACTTAGGAAGTGATATCAAAACTGAGAAGTACCTATCTCACTTTCCTAAACCTTCACACCCTCCACCATGAGCCACTAACTGAACCCCCCCCCCCATACTTTTCACTTACACACAGTAACAGGGTCAAAACAGGTAGTAGTCCCTGCTACACGGAGGCAGGAGGACTGCCTGAGTCTTTGGGTTAATGGCTGTTTGGGGCAAAATTATGAAATAGCAGCAATAGAAACATCACCTCTTTGGTACCGTTGCTGTAAGGACTCTCCTGGACATCACCCTTCAAGGGCACAAAGACAAAATCCTTTGATAAAGACCACTTCCTCACCAGAATAATTAACTCCCTGGGCTCAGAGCTTTAGACACCTTTGCATTTATGGTGAAACACCTTCTCATGGGTAGCTCCACCCAACACTTAATTCAGCTTAGCTCATCTCCTCTGAGTACACACAGGGTATCAAGTTTGAAGTGAGAAACTCCTTCCTGGCCATGCTTGGATATGCCACATCCCCTCTCACCTCTGCATGACTCTAAGGGACAGTGGAACTTGCAACACAGTAGTTTCATGCCCTATACTTTATTAAGATATATATATATTCTAGGTCTCAACATGTACAATTATTATATGTGGCAATAAATGGAGGAACCCCAGCCTAGGTTCTGGAGATCTGTTTGCCAAGACTCTGACAAAAACCCAAGTAAATCAGAAATAAGCCTGGCCATGGCTGAACCCCTAAGATATCCCTATTAGTGAAATGGGGTAGATTTTTCTTCTATAAAATCTCATTACTGTGACAAAGCATGATACATGAGTTGGTCTAGATAAGAGGAAACATCTGAAATTGCACAGAGGGAAAAATCATTATCTAGAAATTATTCATTATCTGAAACCTAGGTGACTTGAATAAGAAGGCAAGGCAAAACCAAATCAAACTTAAAATTGCCAGTAATCCTTTCAGATCAAGGGTCAGCAGTTCTCTGATTTAAAAAAGCATTTTGAGACATGCATTCCTGAAAAATAAATGCCAGCTTACAGCTAAGAAGACTATGCTGATGCAGGATCTTAGAAATGCCTGAACAAAAGTCCTGCCTACCACCCCCAGGTGGCTAATGTTTCATCTGCAATCCAAGGACATTGAAATGCATGATGACTAAGACTCTGTAGATCATGAAAGTTGTTGAATTCTAAAAATAAAGTTAGATAAAATTAAAAACACTTAAACACACAAAGAATCTTGTTGCTGATGAGAGACGTTCCATAGCTTCACTTGTCAATAAGATAATATCCAATAAATAAAGAAAACCCCAGAATATCTTTCTGTCTTGTTACCATGGCAACCTGGTAAACTAGCCTGACTCCATCAATCTGATGGTTTAAAAGACTAGGATAGATACCAATGCTATTACATCAGGAAATTTGTAATCGTTAAAAAACAGCTAAAAGAGCATTGTTCATATTGGCAAATCAGTGTCATTAAATGGTAATCTAATAATTTATATTCAAAGTGTCCCATTTTTCACAATGATTTTAGAAGACCTATCATCCAACCAGAGGGAGTGGGAGCAGCTTGTCTAAGGTTCCACTGCTAAATATTGGAGCCTTCATACATCATAGAATGCTTGCATGCACTCTGTGGGAAACACCACAATGTCACATGGACTACACTGCATGAAGAGTAAACCCCAAAGGATGTCTAAGATGAATAGACATGAGGGCAGGAGGGACCTGGGAGGCCTCAGTTCCCACTCTAGCCCCCAGCCTGGGTAAAGGTTACACACACTCAATTGCATCAGTCACAGGACCAGAGTTCATGCACAGGAAGTTAACAAAATGCAACATCTAGGCAATCCAAATGAGGCTTCTGACCTCTGCCATCACAAGCATTTGGCCACCACGTCACTGAGCCTCTTTTGCAAGCTTATGCTTTTGCAGAAAAACCACAATGCAGCTGATGTTTATTGAGCACTTAGTAAGTAGCAGGTGATACTCTTGGCTCTCTCATTTTCATTGTTTTATTTGACTCACAAAGTCACATGGAGCCTTTTCAGCCTTATTTACCAGATGAGGAATCACTCTACATGGCCACATGAATGCTAATCTTGACTAAGATCTGTTGAACCCAGTGCCACTCACTCTACCATGCCATGAGAATCTTTGTCTAGCTTTGGATCATCCTGCTGCTGGGATTTTAGCCAAGTCAATGACTCCAACCACCTCCCAAAGGAAAAACATCTGCTCTATCTTCTTGAACCAGCCTCTCAAACTGCACAGTGGAATTAATCTAGAGTCTACCCAGATGCCTGTTTATAATTCATTTTATAAGAAAAAAAATGTGGACAATAAATGAGTTGGCTTGAAGTTCAAGTTGGGTATACAACTGTCTTCAGTAAAATGATAAAGAGATAAAAAAGGAAACTCCTGTTGGTCACAACTGCAGAGTCAGATGATGGAAACCCACTTTAAGTATACAGCCTGGTAACAGCTAACATTCTTACTAAGAGTGATGCTATCACGGTGTGCAGGTATGGGATGGAAGGTAGAAAGAATTGAACTTACGCTTATGTCAAGACTGCACAGGCTGATAGCATCTTCATCCTGGGAACTCTGCTTCCGTTTCCGCTGCAAAACAGATAAAAAAACAAAATTGAAATGTAAACAGGATTGTGGCTTTGATCAAGGAAGCAATCAAATAACACATGCAGCTCTTATCACTTCCACCAGGTCTCTCAAAAGTTCCAGCCAAGGATGGAAGGTAGTAGGTCCAAGAACCATGGGGAATTATTAAGCTCTAAGGTGAGGTGATTGGTTTGTGTTCCTATCATTCATGCTACCTCTCTCTCTCTCTCTCTCTTTATCTCTCTCTCTCTCTCCATCTCCCTGTTTCCCCCCTGTGTTATGTGTTTTCCATAAATGTTTCTATATAACATTTAGAAATTTAGATACTAGGTCTAATTCTGACAGACTTGGAAGAACAGATCAGAGTGTAAAGAAATCTAATTCCCTTGAAAATATCTGTTCTAAACCTTGTCCTGGCTCATGGTGTAATCACAAGGCCACATTCTGGAAATAAACCTAAACATTGTCTCCAACCTTCCCACTGATAGCCATAAAAACTGAGACTTAGGGATGGTGATGGGGTAGCTGGGTAGCAGACACTTGCCTAGATCATAGAAGGCCCTGAATTTGATCCCAGAAACATACACATGCATGTACACACACACACACACACACACACACACACTCCTTTCTCTTTCATACTTCCAGAATCAGGAAAGTCATTATTCTACTACAGATATTTCAAATGAATTCATATAATTATGATCACACAAAAACACATCTTCCCCTCTAGAAAGCAAAAAAGACATTTATCTATAAACTACAAGAAAGCACATCCAGGATATGTTCTGTTGTCTTCTGCATCCTCAGGTCTGCCTGAGCCAAGTATTTCTTGGGTCCTCAAATCTGAACTGACAATGCTTAGAAGAAAGCTACCAGAAGATCAGAACTACTGGTATGGTATCACAGGACTGTCTGGAGATGTTTGGAGTCTGCAACACCAAAGAAGCCCACCTCCTCTTCTCATTCAGAGCCCTGAACCTGAACAAAGGCAGGGATTGGATAGTGACCAGAACTGCCCACCATCACTTGAACAAAGGCTTGCTGAACAGGTATCTACTAGGTGCCAAGCTCTGTATTTGCTTCCAGGAAGACACAAGTCAGTTAAAGAATGCACACTTTTGTAAGAGAGAGACACAGCAAATATGATCCTCATACCCTAGTCCACACATTAGGAAAATCACATCACTTCTCTGAATCACTCTTTCTCAACTCCAAGATTGGGATGGCAGGGTGGTGATGGTGGTGACATCAGTCCCAAAGAAAGGAAAATAAATATACTTTTGGTTTTCCAGGACCTTAGGCTTGCTAAGTGTGTGCTTTACTATTGAGCTATACCCCCAAGGCCCTACAACAATGCAGAGTAGAATACTGGTACACACAGCTGGTGCTCTAAAAGTAGATGGGAACATTTTGGAAGTACAGTGATGAGATCGTCTCACGGGAAGAGGCTTTTTATAACAAGATGAATAAAAGAATCAGATGAAGATGGGGAATGGGCTGGGGTTTCTTTTTATAAAGCCAGCTACTTAGCTCTTGGCATCAGCATCTCTGGTTCTTTTCTCAGTGAGTCTGCAGCAGTCTGCATCACTTCAGTGAGCTGAGAGCCCTACAGCACCACTAGTTTGGAGAACCAAGCCTCCTACTTCAGCCTCTCAACCAGCTTGGGCTACAGGCATGTGCCACTATATCTAGTCAACATGACAACCTTTTGAGACAGGTATGGCAAGAAATAATTCCCATTTTACAGGTAAATAAACTGAGGTTGGCAGATTTTAGCAATTTGCTGGAAGTTACATACTATGTTATAGTGCTAGAAAATTCAGGATTCTACTTCCAAAGGTAAAATCCTTCACACACTGTATAGAGCATGTGTGGCAAGAGTCTACATCTTACCCACCACTGGGAATGTTTGGTGGAAACTTCTGTGTGGAATACTCTCCCAAAGACTGAATGGTGGGGCAAATAGGCAGAAGTGTATCAACCAACAAGATATGGTGAGTGTGTGAGCAAGAGCTTCTGGGAGGCTCTGCTGCCTAGAGGGCCCAGGCCCTCCCTGGCTTTAGCTTTTCCTGCCCTGTGATGCTGTAGTACTGCACCTGTGATCTTGATAGGGTAGGGGTGGGGCAGGAGGAAGCTCAAGTTCCAGATACAGTCTATGAAGATAAAACCCCGCTCATCAGGCCCAGCCACTGTGGGCACCACACATGAGGTGTGTGGTGTCTATAACTAGTTGCAGGCCCTGTGTATGTACCATATAAGCCACATAGCTGTATGACATTACCTGATAGTGTCAGATTATATATTTTGTAATACAGACTGTATTACTAGGGCTCAAATATTATGTTAGAGTATACAGTTCTCTCTACAGATCAGCTGATGAGGAGAATAGCAAATAAGAGCTCTTCTCCTCTCCAGAACCCTGGAACCCAGCCTCCAACCCTCAGCCACCAGCCCGGCTCTGACAGACATTTTCAAAGGCTTCAAGAGCCAAGTCTGGCCCTCAGATGTCCTTTAGTGGTCCCTTCAAAGATGCTGGAGTCAGTTACTCTAAGAATAATCTTTAAAACCCATGGTGGCCATGCCTTTAATCCAGCACTTGAGAGGCAGAGGCAGGCGGATCTCTATGAGTTCAAAGCTAGCCTGGTCTACAAAGCGGGTTCCATGACAGCCAGAGCTACACAACGAGACCCTGTCTCAAAACACACAAACATACAAATGAAAAGAAAGTAACTGAGTGGGGAGAAAGGGAGGTAGGGAGAGGAAAGGGAGGTAGGGAGAGAAAGAGAAAGGAAGGAAGAGAGAGAGAGAGAGAAGAAAAGAAGATCAGGGGGGGGGGGATGAGGACAGACAACTGGGAGAGGAGGCTCAGCAGCTAAAAGCATTGGCTGGTTCAATTCCCAGCACCCACATGGCTTACAATATAACTTCTATAATATAACTTCAGTCCCAGGGGATCCAATACCTCTGGCCTTGGCATGCACTAGGCACATATGTGCAATATAGATATACATGCAGGCAAAACATCTATACACATAAAATAATTTTTAGTTTTAAAAAAAAGGAACCCACACATATTACAAGATAAAAGCTGCGGTGGATTTTGAGATAAGGTTTTCCTGTCAATTCTTATCACACAGGATGATGACTAGCCCCTGCTGGCAACAATCAAGTCAGGAGGATTTGTCGTTGTTGTTTTTATGTTTTTAAAGACAGGGTCTCACTATGTGACCCTGGCTGGCCATGGATTCACTATGTATACTAGGGTATCTCTGGGCTCCTAAGTGTTGTGATTGCAAGCAAGCATCACCACACCCAGCTAAGAAACCAGAAGCTTGAACTCTTAAGTCAGAAGCAAAAACTCCACAAAGCATCATTTAGTCATTGTTCAACCAGTTTATGTTCACTGAGCACATCTGTACCAATAGCTACCCTGGGTCCTGGAAACTGGCATGGGCAAGGCATACTCCCTGACTACTCACTGCAGAGAAGGTAAGAGGATTGCACCTTGTGATCTCCACTATGAAAGAGTCCAGAAAGGCAGAGATCAGATACAGGGAATCTCTCTAGTGTTTGCTTAGTGTGCATGCACCTATGTGCATGTGTATGTGTGGAGGTCAGATGTTGGGTGTCTTCTTCAATCATTTTCAACCTTAAAAGTTTAATATTTTAAATTATAGGAGGACATATGCATGTGACTCCAGGTACTACAGTGGCCAGAGGCAGTGGATCTTCCTGGGGCTGAGGTTCTAGGAGGTTGTGAGGCAACCAGCATGGGCCCTGGAACCTGAACCTGGGGCCTCTGCAAGAGCAGTATACAATCATAGCAACTGAACATCTCTGCAGACCTCTCTCTGTTGTTTGGTTGTTTGTTTGCTGAAACAGGCACTCTCATGAACCTGAACTTGTTAATTGGCTAGACTCACAAGCCAGCAAGCCCTAGGAATTCTCGTGTCTCCACAACTTAGAGCTGGGATTACAGGCACCTAGCTTTTATGTGGAGGCTAAGGATGGGACACAGACCCCAGTGCTTGCACAGAGCCTGGGTTAGTACTGCTTGATTTCTGTAGCCTTGGGGCTTGTTCTCTTCACCAGCCTCCAACTCCAGGGAGACCCAGGTGGAAGGAGAGAAAGGCCCACACGGGCAGCCACTCTAGCTAGTAATGAAGGTGTGCAGTAGAGCAGGTGCACAAATGCACTACAAACCCAACTGGGACTAGGAGTTTCTCAAGCACCAGGAAGTTGGGCTCATCATGTTCATCATCTAAAGAACAAGTCATGAAAACATCACCAGCCAGAGCCAAGCCACAGAGATGCTGACAGGTAAGCTGAGAGACAACTCCTGTAATGATCTAATCAGACCTAAAACAAAGGTGACATTTCAGCCTAGCAAACATTTACCGCATGCGTCTTGCAGACAGACTTATCTGTAGGATCTCATTTGAGCCTGACATCCACACTATGAGGCAGGTGGGAACTAGAGAGCTCTCTATTCTGCAAGATGGCTATCACCACAGGCTTGAAAGGCTTGGATCCAACCCGGGTCATGCTAAGCAGTCCCCAACTCTCATGCTGTCCTGCACCCAAACCCTGCACATGAAGAGGAAGTGTTCAGTGTGCAGCAGCTGACGACTGTGGAGACACCTTGGTGACTACTTGGTGTGGTGATAGGTTATTTATGATTTAATAAAGTTAGCCTGAAGTATCAGAATGCAAAGCCAGCCACACTAGTTAGCTTGGTGGTGTGAGTCACACCTTGAGTCCCAGGACTCAGGAGTTAGAGGTAGATGGAGCTCTGTTAGTTCAAGGCCACACACTGACTACACCAAATTCATCCAGTCTAAAAGAGAAACAGCTCACACAAAGATGATCTCAGCACTTGGGACCTCATGCCTTTAATCCGAGGATTTGAGAGGTATCAAGGAAGAAACAAAGGGTCTCATGTGAGAATTAATCTCCAGCCATGTTGAGAAGAGCATAGCAGGCAGGGGTTGCAGTGAAAG